CTGGAAAATCTAACCATGTTTTCCAGAAACAATTTATAAACTATTTTAGTGTTTAAAAATACAAGATATAATACAAGGCATATTTTGATTAGGTTTCTATTTTAAATACTTGAATAGAAGTAGCAATATTCATGATATTTGTTATGATGGAAATAATCAGACATCTTTCAATATACAAAAATTTTAAAGGTATTATTTTTGATATTTAGAAAATGCTTAATGATATTTATTATTATTAAAAGAAAATAAAGTTGCTTGACACAGCTGGCTATTCTGGTGCATGAATGAGATACTAAATAACGTGTTACTCATAAACTGAAATAAATTTAAACGTTTTTTAAATTCCCTGTATTATGTAGGTGATTTACTTTTTGAGGATGCAGGTATATGTATATGCCCATGGACTGTAAATCAATTTCACAAAAAATGCAAGTTAGTTTAATCTAGTTGAACTATTTGGCCATGGTGCATAGCCTCTAGCATATATATTTAACATTTGTAAAAGTTTATAAATAAGCCTTCGGAGGGTAGCTTGTCCAGTCAATGCCAAATGCATGTTTACTGCAAAGAAAAGTAGTAACTGTAGAGATTCAAGCCATAGGAGTCTGATTTTTTTCCTCTTATCTAAATATAATAATTTGGAGCTCCACTATGACATCATATTAAATGATTAGTATTGGAATAGTCCATGTGTCTGTGTTCTGCAGTATAATAAAACTTCTGAGACATAAGAACTAAATGTAAATAATCTTTATAGTGTCTGCATAGTGCTTGGCATAAACGCATATGAAAATTTTGCTTGATAAATAGTTACTGAATTAGAAAAGTACTGAAGAGAATGCTTCCATTTAATTACATACAATGTATTATAGATATGATAGGTACATTATATTTTTTCCTTTACTCTATCCTATAATACAGGAACAATATGTAATTATCACAACAGAATTAGGTATACTATGTTTTATGCAATTTCAAGCTGCATTATTTTGTTTTTTAAATGTTGCTATACTAAAACTAAAGCAAAATTCCTCATAGTATTTTGGATGTTTTCTTCAAAAGGTAACATATGTATGTATTCCTGAAATAAGCAATATGAATGTTTCTCCCTAATTTTATATATTCTGAAAACAAAGAGCTTCAAAATAACAATATATTATTTCATGGATTTTTAAAAATTTAGCTACTTGAATGCTAAAACATACCCATTATATATATATATATATATACATATATATATATATGTTGTCCTCAGTATGTTTCTAAATTTTATATTAATCAGAAAGACTTAGACAATTTTGATTGTTCCAAATTCAAACTTAATCTTTTAAGACCTGATGTTTTGATATATCTGAGGATCAACACTCTTTGTATTTGTTTCTATCTTGACCTCAAGAATGCAAATCACTGCTATAACTGGATTAATTTACTCTTCCACCAGGATAATATACTTGAGGTTTTCTCAAGGCTTGAAACGTGCTGAGTATTAAACATTATAATCCTTTTCTTTCTTCAAAGGAATTGCTGGCTTAGTCTTTCCTCTTTTCATTTTATAAGCAAATAGAATTATGAATACTGTTGTTTCTACTGTAAATGAAAGCAGACTTTTAGTGCCATATATCTTTTACTTAATAAAAACTTTAATCATTTCTTACCTGAATCCAGACTACACATATCGTGAAGAACAATGGTCTGAGAAAATACAAAAACGATTCTGAACAATATAGCTCTGACAAATGAGACATGAATGCTTTTCTGAATATAGGTATGATTCAAAAAAAGATGAGTGCAGATAAATTTACATGAATATTGCATCTGGTTCATTGAGTGGCTTATAATTTTGAAATTGTCACGTCACCAAAAACATAAACACTGACAGAAAATAAAAAAGTAGCACATTTCTGTTAAGTGCAATTGTTTCTAGCTCACGAGATAACCATGACTATATTCTTTATGAAGCAAACTCTTCTTATTCATACAAAGTAGTTAACTATTAACTCTTTCTCATGGGAAGAGAGAAAAACCTTGTAATTATTTTTTCTTTAAAAACCTAACGTGATAAAAATAGCTAAATGGGTTATACATAATATGATAAGCTTGACTATAGCTTATTTAAGAAAAATAGTAGCCAGGGATATAGCTCACCGGCCCCGACCTGCCTGGCAAGTGCAAGGTCCTCAATCTGATCCTCTGTGCACAAGAGCGCGCGCATGCTCACATATACACACACACACATACACATACACTCACACACACACACGAAGTGAATAGTAAAGAATTGTAGTCAGTGAAGGGGAGAAATTGTTTCATCAAATTACTACTGTTACTTTGATTTTCAAATAATAGTAAGCTCTGGAAATAAACTGGCATTTTTTTTTCATTTTTCCTTTCTTCTGTGTCTTCTGTTAAAACCATTTCCTTTTAGTCTAATTTTAAGGGAAGTTTCTTAAAGAAACAATAAAACTTTAAAGTTTTCATTTAAAAATATTTTATGTTAGAGATTTTGGTCATTTTATATTAAAATCTCCTTGTAAGCCTTAATTCTGAAAGTTCAGAAATATTTTGACACGTTTTACAACTCTAGCCAGTTTTATGTATTCCTTAAGTCTATCAGAAAGTAGTATATGTTTACGATTTATCAGGACTGTCTTCATGAACAGGACGTTTCTTCTGGTGAGTTGTTAAAGAACCTATAGAATTATTTATTGAAAATCAACATTTAAAACGAAAATTTAAATTTAATTTAATGAAACATTAAACATTTATATTTAGACATAATGATTTACAGCATAGTAGTCGTAACATAGATTTTTATTTTATACCTATTTGCAAACTGTAAATTAACTGCAAAAGCCCATGTGGCCAGTAAATATCAATCAGTGGTAGAAGTAGCAAAATCAGATTTTATTTTTTCAAGTACCCACGTATGGAGTTCATACTCCATACCTGGTGATCTTTTCAGAAATGATTTGCATACATTCAAGTTGGAATGGACACCGTAAAAGAGAAGCTGTATATGTATTCATCGTGATTGTGCAAGTACAGTCACCAATCAGAAACCTTCAGGTTCTCCAAAGCGCCTGCATTTCACATTTCCCTTCGCGTAGAGGAATTTTAGATGGGCAGCATCTCTTGCTCACCTCCTTACTTTCCTTCCAATACATTAACTGAAACTCCTTTAGGTATGCGACTAACATCGCAGTGTTGAAAAGCATTATGAGGGTCCTTTCACTTTTAGAATTGTCTTAGCCCTCAAATGGACCCATAGATCCTTCACGGACTCCTGCCACTGTGCCGTTTCCCTCCGTGCCCTCTACCCACTTGGACAATACCGCCTCCCTTTTCCTCTGCTTTCTCTGTTCTCTTCACCTTTTTTTATCCCGTTGGCATCAACATTCTTTCAAATCTGAGCTTTGAGGTGAGTTTTTCGTCCTAACCAGATTGTAATAGCCCATGGCCCTTCAGTAAAGAAAACGGTGATGAGAATATAACGAGGAGTCTGGATCACAAAAGTTCCCACACCTGCGATAGGTTTCCAAGCGCTCCCTTAACAAACACTAAAGCATTCCAGTTTTCCCCCTCCTGTTTAGCCTCCTCCACCTGGAGCAGTGGAGGGATTTTTTTTGTTGTTGTTGTTGTCCACTAACGCCCTCTAGCGCCGAACTGGCAGCAGCCGAGCCTCTGCTGCCACGCGGGCGAGCTCTGGGCTTGGTAGAGCTCGGCTGCGCTCGCCGCTACTCCAGCCCTGCCCTCTCGGCAGTGGGGGAGAGCGTGGGGACAGCAGACCCTGAGACCCCTCGGCAGCAGCACGCTTAGCGCTCTGGACTTGGGCGGGAGATTCCGCTGAGCAG